CTTCACGTCCTGTCCCCCAGCTTCTCTGATTCCTCTATAACCCAGCCATTTTGGCTATTCAGCCTCTCTAACTCTCTCTCTCTCTCTCTCTCTCTGTGTGTGTGTGTGTGTGTGTGTGTGTGTGTGTGTGTGTGTGTGTGTGTGCATTCACACATGTTACTGGGGCAATGCCAGTACAGGGTACCAAATCCTATAGAGCTGAAGTTGCAGAATGTTGTAGGTACCCATTGTGGGTGCTGGGAACCAAGCTTGTGTCCTCTGCAAAGAACCCACTGAGCCATCTCTCCAGGCATGGGCTTATTATTATTGTTATTATAATTATTCTTATTGTACCTAGTTTTGTTTCTACATAAAACATGTCAGTTTACTTTGATCCAGGCCCTCTTGGGTCACTAGGACAGGAGTGACATTTCAAGGCCTGGGAGGGGTGGTTCGGATCTTCAAGCCCCTTACTGACTCAATCAAAGGCGGGATGGGCTCACTCCAGGCCGGTGCCCAACAGGGTGCGGTCAGGGCACATATAGGCCATTTGTTAGTGACTTAGGACGGATGAGTCTCGACCCTTCATCTAATTGACCACCTCAACAGAGTCATCAAGGCATCCTCCTCCTTCATGGCAGTTACAGGAGAAACCACTTCTTATTAAAGAATTCCAAGAAGTACCAGCTGTTTATGTGGAATGCCAGTTAAGGGCAGTTTTTTTTTTTATGACATATTATAGAGACAAATATTTTCTCTCAAGATACTGAAGGTGAGAACTGAATACTGAGAATTGGTATGAGGTAAGTAAGACTTGTAATGATCTTGGCTTTGTATGAATGTTCTCAGAGAATAACGATTCTCAAGTGTCTGTTCTACTTAAGCATGTCATGGGATGTGAGACATGGCAAGACTGATTTATCAGCTACTCATTTAAGAAATAGTCAATTAAAATAATTAATGTGTAGCAAAACTCAGCTGTAATAATGCCTCATGCTTAATTTTTCACAGCCCATACCATCAGGAGAATAATATATTTCCCAGTCTGAAGAATAGCACACAAGATTTTATATAGCAACTACAATGACATCATTAGAGGAGTGTGTGTGTGTGTGTGTGTGTGTGTGTGTGTGTGTGTGTGTGTGTGCGTGTGTGCCTGCATATGTGTATGGGTGTACTTACCACTCTTGCAGGTAAGTGTTGGGACCAGAGTTGGATACTAAGATGTATTCATTAATCATTTCTCTCTCTTACTTTTGAGATGGGGTCACTCACTAGACCTGGAGTTCATCCAGTCCAGGATGCTGTCTGTCTGGCAAACCCCAGTGTCCTTCCAGTGCTGGGGATACACAGATGTGGAAAGGATCTGAACTCTGATCCTCACACGGGAACCCACAGCAGACTTTCACCCACTGAATGATCTTTCTAGCCTCAGAAAAGTCTTTCCTGTTTTCATTCTACTTAGATTGAATCAAGGAAAAAATAATGAGTGATTATGAATTCTTAGAACTTCATGTTATTTTAAACAATGTTCTTATCTACTGGATTATCATATAAAATAAATATATAATATGGAATATTATAGTATATTTTATGTGCATGTATACTATAAAGTTGTTTCTATATAAAATTTTATATTTAATATGTAACAATGTACAATGTTATACACAATACAATATATTATATTCACTGTGGTAGATTACATAATGCTATATATATATCTATGCATAAATATCACAGACATGTGTATCTTTAAATGGATGGCATATTTTTGTTGTTGTTTGTTATCTTAAAGGATCATGTGCCATAAAGGAGCAAAGAGTATCAAAAAGATTAACAAACAGGAAAACAAACTAATAAAATTTTATCTCCTAAAACTTATCCTGCACTTTAAACAGTGTAACCAAACTTGTAAATCCCATAATAAGCCCATTTACCTGGTTATTCTTCACAGGAGGGTTTACTCATTTAAATATGTATTCATAGTAAATCAATGGAGCTAATGTGTAAAACAGAAAGCTAGTGAATTAACCTGTATCTGATCAAAATCCTGCTTGGGTTATTCTTTCTGGCCACATGTGCCCAGGCTATCCTTAAACTCACAATATAGCCAAGGATGATCCTGAATTTTCAGGAAGGGCTAGTAAAAAGGCATGCTTCATGACATAAGTCTCTTTGCACTGACCACAGTCATCACAGCTCCTAAATCCAGAATATCAAACCTAGACTAGAAAGATAAATTCTGACAAATCCTGTGTCTTGATTCCATAATCTTTCTAAGGATAGAGCTTTTCTCCAGAGTTTAAGAATATCAATTTTTTTTTTCCTGGGCAAAATCACATTTTGCAGACACTACTCAAAATGCTCCTGCAATGATCCAAGCCACTGGGCTCTCATCACTCACTACTTTTTCAGAAAGAGGCAGCCAATGAGGGCAGGTGAGTATTGTATTTAATGGGACTATAAAATGCCTACCCGCAAGGGGCTTAGAATCACTTGACAGTAACCAGGATGGTGACTTTTTTTTTTCAAGAGCTGAGCTGCTATTGAAAGCATCAGTCTACGTGCAGTGAGATCACACACGATGGACGGGATTAATTCAGTTTTTATGGAAGTGATGTTTGGGGTGGATATTCCACAGGTGTCGGGAGATACTGGAAGGAAGGAGACAGAAGAGCTCTACAGAGGAGGAATGGAGGAGTGAGGGAAACAAAGGACATGGTGCATGAGAGAGCAACGTGCTTGGAACACTGGGAGAAAGACTTGTGATGAGGCAAGGAACCAAGGAGGGCGCTGGTTCCCAGAATGCTATCGGAAGGCACAAAGCACTTCTTTTTGATAGTCTATCTTTGTGTTTTTATTCTTAAATTCAGTCACAGAATTTCAGAGCGAGATTATTGTCAATCATGTTTCATTCTTCACAATCCAGAGCAAAGGCAACACCTCCTCTGCAGGCTGCTGTGTGCTCTCTATGATCACTCACAATGCTGCATCTCCCACAAGTCACTTCTCTATCGTCCTGTTCTTAGCAGCTTTCTTCTTTACGTCCGTGTCATTATGGAACAGCACTCAGCCCACAGTTTTTTAATTGTGGGTTTTCTTGTGTGTTTCCCCATTATATTGTACAAAGGCTTGGTTATTACTCTTTCTTTTATTCTGTTTGGAATCCAGCGTATCATAGTCCATCTCCTAAAAGCAGTGCTAGAAGGCACAGCTATGAAAAACTCTTCATCACACTGTTTTTAAAAATTATATAAGCCAGGGAAGAAACATATTACTTCTTTCAGGCAAACTCCAAAGTTTCCTGCTTGGAGCAGATTGACAGTGTTTATTTCAAGCGAGGCATCCCCATCCGTCCTTTCCCCTAGAGCAGTGGTTCTCAACCTTCCTAATGCTGTGACCCTTTAATACAGTCCCTCGTGTTGTGGTGACCCCAACCATAAAAATCATTTCATTGCTGCTTCATAACTGTAATTTTGCTACTGTTATGAATCATGATATAAGTATCTGATGTGCAGGATATCTGCTATGTGATCCCTGTGAGAGGATCTTTTGACCCCAGGGGGCTTTGTGACCCATAGGTTGAGAAGCATTACCCTAGAAGCCATCTCATTTTAAACAAGCCCTGTGTTACCTAGTGCATGCCTTAAATAAACCTTTGGTTTTAAATTGAGACTAAGCAACATTTTGAAAGCATGTTTTTATAACATACTTTAATATTTGCCTTTGTCCAATCAAATTCTTAATGGCCCCAAAATCAAGAAAATAATATGGTAAAGCAAAGGCCTGAAAGTTCACATTTGAATAGCTAAAAGCCACATTATTGATTTAGAAAGAATCCCTGTATTGACACTTTCTGTTATATAAGGCTGTACTAATAAATACAACTTTTCAAAGACTGCTATGGCAAAACCTCAAATCATACACAGTGGTGACTAATGGTTTGCTTATTGTTACTACTAGATTGTTTTAGCACAATTACTCCAGTAAATGTTTTCTAAGAGCATATTAAAGCCCAGCCACTTAAAATTAAATTGATAAAGTAAATGCTGCTGTCTGCTTCATCTTATGGGTTAGGTCTCTGTTTACATGTTTGCTTATTTTTATTTATTTTTTATGCTTTATTTTAATTTTATTTGTATCAGTGTTTTGCCTGGAAGAATGTCTGTGTATCATGTGTGTGCCTGGTGCCTGTAGAGGTCAGAAGAAGGTATCAGATTCTCTGGGCAGAGTTACAGATGATTGTGAGCTGCCATGTGGGCGCTGGGAATTGAACCCATGCCTAGTGGAACAACAGCTAGTGCTCTTAATCACCGAGCCATCTCTCCAGCCTTCATTTAGGTCTCTCTTTATTGATGTGGTTCCAAGTGCTTAAATTATTCTCCTGGATGTAACAGATCAGAATTTTAGTTTGGTGCAAATCTGTGAATTCTAATTGAAAATGACATGATTACTCGGCTGTTTTCCCAAAGTTGGATTGGAACCATCATTTTTTTAGATAAGCAGTAGCTCATTCTATATGAAAATTGTCATGAAAACATTCCATCATTTGACCCAAAATTCTTGTCTTGCCCTGTATACACACAGGGCTGACCTCAGTACTTGCCTCCTGCTGACTTAAAATGAAACTTTGATCCTCCAAAGACTTGCATAGTGAAGTACAGAAAACACAAATCTGTGCCTATTTATGTACATTCCTGTCACCATCACAATGCTTTTTAAAACACACTTCACAACAGCATTTCTACTCATGTTATTTTAAGTGCTACTGGAAATAAAATACAAGAGAAACTTCTTTTTTTTTTTTTTTTTGCAACATTTCATCCATTCTATTCTTGCCCCAAATTTCTTTTTTCCCCTGATTTACGAAAGATCCACAAAAGTCATCAAAATGTTACAACACCAAAGCTCAAATTAAAAAATAGACTAGGAAAAAAATCAGGTCCCTTGGTTCTTGAGAGGTGAATTAAATGCAGGTCTCCAATGGCATCTGAGTACAGGAATACATTTCATGATATATTGCATCAGAGCTGCAGCCAAACAAAATTTGTGATATTTATGAGAACATGAAATTATCAAATATATTTGCAAATAGCAAATAATTTGAAGGAAAATAAGTTTGTATCTAGTTAAGTATTCACAATTCTTCTTGTTATTTTGCTAGAATATAACTTGAAAACTTAACTTTTACATTGTTTGGATATAGACAAAAACATCTCAGCTTCATCTCCAGGAAAATATAATTGCATGAATACATCCTCAGCTGCTGAGCACATAGCTGGGAGAGTAACTGCTTAGGATGAGGAATATTGCATCTTTATGTCCTATGGCTCTCAAGGGAGGTGGCATAATTCCAATAAGGTCCAATTAAATTACGTATAAGAAAGGCACATTCTTCCCTGTCAACCTCAAGTATATGATGCAGGGTTAGCAAAACCCCCAGCTACCTAGACATCTAGAAACAGTCCTTTGCACAGGCATGTTTCTTTTGGAACTAAAGACCTGGTTCTCAGAAGTTTCAGTGCTACGAGCCACAGAGAGCAAACTTCTTGAATAACAGGTACAGGACTAAAATTTCAGTGTGCAAAATTTTACCTCTGGATAAACAAAATATAATATATATATATATATATATATATATATATATATATATATATTCAATTAAAGGAAGAATTTAAGCATTACTTTCTATTTCTAAACCTACATGCACCTTCATTGCTTGGTATTGTGTGCCCAGGTCTCAGAATTCAGACACCCTCAGGGGTGGGGGTTACCCTTTCAAACTCCCCAGACCGAGGAGATTCTGCACTCATAGTTAGTGTGATGTCACTGTTCAGTGCAGATCCAGTAGGGACATTTTTTTCTCCACATTTGATGCTACACAAGCCATAAATTTTCTGATCTGTACACACACACACACACACACACACACACACACACACACACACACACACCACAGTAGGAATAACTGTCCTTCCATTCAGATTAGTGATACTGAGAAATGGCACCTAGTGATCCAGAACTTCATTGTCGGGGTTTTCAGGCTCTAGATTTACACAGTGAGACTCTGTCTCAAAAAATCAAAAGGACTATGTCTCCTTAAATGAACCTTGTACAATTAATATCACCTCCATATTGTAGGTTCAGGAATAGATATAAAAACAGGAATATCTGAAAAGGATTCACACTATGGACACAATATGATAAAGCAGACATTGCTATATCTTCATATATAAAATATTAGTGATATAAAATAAATACTGAGAATATCTGAAAGTATGGATTAAATAAATTATATTAATTTCTGACCACAAAAGTTACTTTTTTCGTGGATACTTTATACAAACTTTACAGAATTTTTTTGTTAAGTATGTGTGTGATTTAAGATTCATTTACTTTTATTTCATGTGTGTGTGTATGAGTGTCTCCATGTATGTCTGTGCGCATATGCATGCAGTACTCAAAGACGGCAGGAGCCCCTGGAACTGCAGGTACACATGGTGATGAGCTGACATGTGGGTGCTGGGAATCAAACCTGGGTCCTCTGCTAGAGCAGTCAGTCCCTTAACTGATGAGCCATTCAATAGACCGATGTGTGTGTGTGCATGTGTGTGTGCATTTGTGCATGTGTGTGTATGTGCATGTATGTGTATGTGCATTGTGTGTGTGCGTGTGTGTGTATGTGCATGTGTGTGTGCATGTGTGTATCTATGTGTGTGTGCATGGGTGCATGCGTGCATGTGTGTGTGTGTGTGTGTGTGTGTGTGTATGTGTGTGTGTGTAACTGGGTAGAAATGCATAGAACATGGCTTCATAAGATACTTATATCTGAGGAAAAGAAGAAGGGAGGTAAGGCCCAGACTCAGGACTAACAGAAGATTTTGAAAGAAAAATGCTCGCCTACAATAGTACAGTCAGTTTAGGAGATTTAAAGTTCATCATAATGATAAAAATGAGCTATTCATAAGTGAAAATCATCTCTGGTTTAGTAACTTAAGGGAGAAGCATAGTTTTCACAAACTTTTATTTTTTAAGTTTTCATTTTATTTTTAGTTATGTGCCTCTGGTGTGTTTGCCGGTATGTACATGTGTATGCATGTGCCATGGAGACCAAAAGAGGGTCTTAGATCTACAGGGCCTGGAGTTACAGGTGGTTGTAAGACACAAATGTGGGTCCTGGGAACCAACTTCAGATCCTCTGTAAGAACAGTGCATACTCTTAATTGATAAGTCATATCTTCAGCCTCTCAGTGATTTTTAAAAGGATAGCTAAAAGTCTGTTTACTTCATGGGTATTGTTGAAACCATACTAAGGTTACAAAGTTTTAGATAAATGGAAATCATATGTATATATATCAACATATTATATACACGATTTGCCATTTATCCAAATGCCACACACACACACACACACACACACACACACACACACACACACACATATATGTTATCATCCATATATACACACACACACACACACACACACATATATATACATACACACATATATATGCTGATATATGCTTCTATCTATGTATCTGAAATAAGATTGCTCACAAAGTAGATTTTGATTTTGCCTGTGAATTCAAGTCCTCTGTAAGAGCACTCCATGCTCCTGACTGTTGAGCCATCACCACACAAAAGTGTTTCTAAACTCTGGTAAGAACTAATTTACAGTTTTTCATTGATGGAAGCGCCTGGCCTTGCATGTACTAGTTAAACGCCCAATCAGTGAGCTACATCCCCAGCCCTGGTTGTTTAGACTGGGGCTCACCCTGTACCTGAGCTGGCCTTGAACTTGTTTCCCTGCTTCAACTAGGCGCTAGTACTACCAGAACTTCACCATTGCACCTGGCATCCAAGCAGCAAAAAAATTTGTTTTTGTTTGTTTGCTTGTTTATGTTGATTTTGTAGAAATCAATACTATATCCATGCTAGTATCAAACTAGTACTACTAAAGAATACCATATAATTTGCCTCATAGAGGTGGCTATAATACCACCAATTTTATTTTTAATTGAAAATATTAGCAATGAAATCAGTCTTGGTAATGTAAGTCAACCCTAAAAAATAAACCAGGAACTCCTCCAGGTTAAATAAAAACCTGTTCCCATTTGTGAGTGGTAAATGACCTCTCTGTACCTCTTATCACCTTGCCACTGTGGGCCTGTGCTGCGGAGGTCAGCTGTACTGCCCATCTTCAGCTCCTAGGACTCTAATAGACAATGATGTGTCAATCAATACATATTTGTCAAATCAAATTGCCTTGCCCCTCCAGTGGCCATGGATGTCAGTAGTGTTCACATTCCAGAATCTTCCTAAGGATGTCTTGTAGAGATGATTTAAATCCTAATTCATTGGCCTGGGAGCTTAAAATAAAAAGTAATTTTGCCATGGGCACAAAGTTTTCTGTGACTACCCCGAGAAAGGCAAACAATGTCTACACAATTACGGCAGTTTGTTGAGGACTGTGACAAATAGGAAGTGTGCCACCTTTCTTCAAAGGCTCAGGGAACATCACAAAGAGGAGGCAGAAGGATGGTAAGAGACAGAGGACTGAGACATAGGCTGTGATACAGCGACTTCTAGACATGATAGGGAAGCTGCACCCACCCACAAAACTTCAACAATATGGTTGCCTGAACAGGACCTGCACTGTGACACCAGTTAAAATACCACTGTGGAAGAGGAACATCTCCCAAGACCCCACCCCCTGTGAAGAACTACAGGCAACTGTTGAGAGAGGGAGAGTCAGTTTTGTCCAGAGACAAGCCCCTGATAGGTCATCTAATCCCAAGTGTCAGCCCTAGACACACGTACATATGGGCAACATTAAATGGGCTCAGTAACTTCTACACATACGCATACATGTGTATATACATGTATGTATGTATGTATGCGCTTGAGAGGGAAACATCACTGTCAAATCAAGGGCTTCCTGGTCCACATGGTGAATTCAGGTCAGCCAGGACTACGTGACAGGAGCCTGTCTCAAAAAAGCAAAAGCAAGCAAACACAATCCCTTTTCCTAAGAAAATGCCCCAACCTTTGGTTGGTCTCTCTCAT